GTAGTTCTTTTTCTGCTGATGTACTGTTACAACTGCACAACACCACACCACAGCCGAGCTTGTTTGATTTATCCAGCCATCCATCCATCGTCCCTACATATCTATCGATATATCCATCCATCCATCCATCCATCCATTCTTCATTCTTATCCCATAAATTAAAATCCAAGTATGTATGTTCAACTGACTCCTGAGTTCAATCTACTCTACTCTGCCGGTTGGTTGATGTCCTCTTTCCGTCCTTCTTGATCCATCATGTCCCGTGTAGTGTACCGGTTGTCTGATGCTCAAATTTGATCTGCTTTGCCCCTCAATTCATTCGCAGTTATACCCCTCTAGTTCAACTCCGTACTTCAACCAATAAGTTTTCTGTATTAGTTTTTGGTTACCCCGTACCCCACCGCCACACCACCACCGCCACAACTCCTACGCGTTCCTTTTTGTCCGCATGTCACCATCGTCGCAAAACTTTATTGTATTTTAACGTGGTTTCTGCTAACCACGCCCCCTGCTCTCCCGTCTGTTACTTCCGCACAGGTTCTTTTTCCATTCATCATTTGATAATGTAGTGGAGTAGTTATAGTGGTGCCGACGTCACAACTCGAAATCTATCATAACAACCACTCGCTCCGCTCAATTTATCAGCACTTCTTAGTTCTGTGTGTATTCAGATCACCACACCATACATCTACATTATTGTTATCGCATTATTTCTAATAAACACGCCCTCTTTACTGCCTTTGACTACCTAGTTTTGTTATTTTGTTTCTCTATGTTGCCATGTTGCCTAGATTGTTAATCCATTTCTTAGATTATCTTGTTTTTTTTTTTCTAAAAATGATGAAATGATATATTTTTTTAAGCTCAAATACAATCAAAATTTGGTGTAAATACCGACGAATTTCGTCATGATCAGTTAAAATTTCGATGCCATCATTAAAGATTTTTTTATCGAGTGCTAATATTTTTTTATGAGTGATCACTTGCTTGGGTTCTGTGGTTTTTATAGTTCGCTTGATTGACTTCTTGTTTGCGGACAGTTTTGTTCTTCGATTTACGAATTACAAATACCGATTTACAAATGCCGAAATTACAAATACGATTTTACGAATTACAGAATTAAACAAAGACATGCATGTATGAACTTCTAGCCAATTCATTGACCCATCCAAAAATGTATTTTTTCTTTTAAAAACATGTATCCACTTCATCTAAAAATCATCATTCTTTCAAATACTGGTATGAAAAGAAGTGATTTTTTCATTTCATTTTAACTACTTGAACAATTGCGGTCTTTTGTTTATCAACATTTTTAAGCACAGTCACTTATTTGAAATTTTTTTTTTTGGTTTTCTGTAATGAAATTGATTTTGAATTCAAGCTTTCAGTTGTTTGTTTTCTGTAACTTGTTGTTCGTATGAATCATAAATGCAGATAAAATTACTCCAATAAAGAATGGTGCAAAATTTTTATCAAAGGATTTTGCTATTTTAGAATCACCAGCAGAGTAAAAAAAATATTTTGAAGCCTTTTTCAGGCAATCCAAAAAGTCGTCATCCAATTTTCAGTTTTTCGTTCAAAATGTTTCAAATTTTTGCAGTAAGATTGGTTCACTAAGGTGTTCCTGTATTTCAGTAATAATTTCCCAACTTTCCGATGGCAACGTGGAGAGAAATTACGATGCAATTGTTAACGATGTGTTTGTTTTGGAGTTCAGTTGCTAAAAAAGTTGGTCGTCAGTTTGAAATCAGTTTTTTTTACGATAAGCTTAAAACAGTATTTAGCGTGTTTCTGATTTCGAAAAAAGTAGGATTTTTGAGCTAAAACAGATAATCATGACGATTAAAAATTCAAGTGATGATGAAGAAAAAAGCCTGAAAGCGACTTATGAAGTTCAAAGATTTGAGGCTAGTCTTGCGATTTGAGGGGAAGTAGATGGATGTTTTTTGCACAACTAGTTTTTTAACGGATTGTTGTTTCTTCAGTTTTTACACCGTATTTTGTTTATACACTATCTTAGACTTTTTGAAGAAGCTACTTTAAAGTTATTTCTAGGATTTTATCTGATCAATTTCCAAAGGTAAGTTCCTAACTTTGAGCATGATAAAAATCAAGTTCCTAGTTTTCTACACTTGCGAGAACAAGAACCTTGCAATCGGGTACACAACTTTTTTCAAGTGAATAGCTTTGTTCACAGGACTCATCTCCTCCGCTGTGGCATACCTGTTGATCAATAGATATATTTTGAAAATCTTTGGATTTTAAATATGCTTGCAATTATGATTTTCAGACAGCTCCGATTTTATATAATTTCCCTTTTTAGTTTTTTTCCACACCTCTCTTGGTCGTGCAGTTTCTGAAATCAGGATTTTTTCTACCCTCATTTTTTAGGAGGTTTGACTGAAGATTTTTTTCGTTAAATTTCAAATGTAGTCACTTTATAGAAGACATATTTTTCTTTCCATGAGTTTTTTAACTTGGTTTCAATTTATCTGTTAATTATGTTTATGAATAGTCGACTTTGCGAAATATTTGTCAAATTTCTGTTTTGAAATGATTCTTTTACTGGATCAATTGTTTTGAGTTTTGCCTCTGCATATTTCGGCTTTTTTATTAGGCAAAAATAACCCTTCAAGAGAAAAATTTCTTGTGTTGGAGTTTTGCTCGGAGCAGCATGCATTTTTGAATTAAATATTTACAGATGGTCTGGCCTTTAAATAAAAACCTTGCTTATCTTACTTATTTTGCCTAAAGAACATGTGCTTGCATTGTTGGCAGTAGAAACAAGATACTTCTGTATTATTTCTTACTGAACATTTTTCGGCTGTTTTTTACTGAGCATTTTTCAGTTTAGTTACCTAATTTTTTTGTCTACTAGTTTTCAGCCGTTTTTTGATATCGATTCAACGAATAAAAAGCATAAACAGTTTTCGAGTTTTTCCTTTTTCAATTAATTTTTTTCGAAAACTTATTTTCGATGTCTTGAGTGGCGTGCTGTTCTTATCATATTGTTTTAGGCGAATGTAATGGAAGTCTACGAGATTATACGTAATTTTTTGTTATAACTTTCTAAATTTTTTTCAGTTGTTTTTAAATTTGGTGTTGATATTTTTTGTCCTGTTTTGTAGAACGATTACCTTTTTCAAGCAATTGCCTTGGGTTTAGGAGGCCTTAATTACTATCAGATCACAGAATACCTTTAAAAATGTTTTATCCATATTGCTCGTAATTTTCAGAGTTTTTTGTCTTTAAAAGTCAAAATTAGCTTTTTTTCGCTACTTTTTTTGAAGTCACTTAATGTTTTCCTCTCGTTCTGTATAGTGTTTTTTTATCATTGGTAATTCAAATGTAAGCAGGATTTTCTTTAGTTCTAGTGTTTCGTTTTAATACCCACCAGAATCTTTTGTTAGCTTTCGACAGGTTTTTCGAATAATTTTTTTCGTCTCAGCTTATTTGGCCTCAGTTTCTAGCAACTTGGCGATCTAATACGTCATGTTGTCTGAAGTGTTTTGTTGCAAATTGATTCAAACTCATAGCACCAATTTTTTGTATCGCAAATTTTTTTAGTTTTCTTGTATCGCAAATTGTTTTTGATTTTGATTTGATTTTTTTATTTTTTTGTTTTTGATTTGAAATTCGAAAGTTGAAGTTTTTGCTATAGACATTGACATTGTTTCTTTGCGTTCATTGGCTTTTTTCGAAATTTCTGTTGGCTATGTTTTCGATTAACTGGCGTCTAAAGAGTGGGCTTGGGCGGGAGTGTGAAACGTGGAGTCCACATTAATAAGATTTTTATAATAAGCTTTTGTAAATCATACTTACTCTTGATGAGAAAAATTTGGTTCGTCGCAACTCAAAAAGCGGCCTTGTATGCAGTACGACTGTTTTGCGTTGTTTCCAAATCCACTTAAAACTCTTTATATGACCTTTTGATATTAATAAATTAGGATTAGTTATTTGTTTATGCCCGTTGCATTTAATTACTTGTGCTTCTTTTTTTATATCCTCGATTTCTTTCGAAATGAAAAATGACTTTTTTGGAAAGTTTTACTCCTTCGAATGTGTTACATGTAATTTATCGTTATTTATGAAATTTCAGCGATCCGAAAAATTTACGATTTACATTTTCTTGCGTTTAAATGCTAATGTACCACCTATGCTAATATTTCACCCGGTAATCGTAATTAATTCTTGAAACGAGCACTTCAATGCCCTCTCGTCACTCCTGATAGGGGTCAAATTTTTTATGCAAAATTGAAAATAATTGGAAGCAATTTTCTTATTTTTGCTTGGTTTTCTATAATTCCGGAATTTGCTTTCTTTCATCAACTGTTTCCTTTTTTTGTAATTTTGCAATACTATTATTTTTGTTCCGACTTTCGCAGAAATTGTAAGGCATAGAGAAGTTTTTTTTCAGACCAGACAAAATTGTTCCGACTTGAAATCAGACAAGCTAGTTTGTCAAAATTGGTGGCATGGTTTCCTTTTAAAACAAAATTTCAACACTAACTATTATATTGACAGTCCATAGTTTATAGTTTATCGATTTTTTTAGCAAAAAACAATCGGAGACCTATTTAAGGGCAGTCTGAACATTCAGGGATTTGCCCTGATATGCGAGCAGAATTTTTTTTTGTTTCATGCTCATTGAATTTATGGGCTAATTTATTCCACATTCTCGATAAATTTCAGGCCGAAGAAGTTCTCTCCTAAACGTTTAATTTATAATCTACATCGCAATATTTTAACCTGAAAATGGGAGAGATGAAATTTATGGTCTCCTTTTCAGTAAAATTGACGGTAGTGCGGGTATGTAACTAGATTTGAAATTTGTTCCTAGTTGTCATTTCCCTTTGTGCAACTCTACGTCATAATCTATGACACAAACTCATGTTCTTTAGGTAAAAAAAAACCTGAATTATAATGATTTAGTTGCTCTGATTAGATCTAACAATGGAGTATTTTCTGTCATCGAATTTGATTGATTGGTTTTCAGGTCGATATGCTTTAATGACGAGGGCTAAATCCTTAAAAACAACAAAGCAATGATGTATGTGTTTATTAGTACTGCTTCAACCGCTCACCGAACCTGATCGCCAAAACAAAACAGTTCAATATATTCCTACTCAAAATTCAGGTGAGAACTACTGCTTTTGTATTATACCTTCATCTTACCTTATCACTATTTCTATATATGTTTTCATCTTCTAGTTCTTCATTCATTCGAAATAAGACCGATTAGTTGACGGATTGGGAAAAAAGTAACCCTCGTTTCCCGTTACATGTATCCTTATTCTTCAAAGAAAGTCTGCTTTGTTTGAACTTCTAGATAGATGGCAATCCCGCCATCCAAAAGGGCCGAAGGTCCAAAACTTATGCAGGATAAGCATAATCGAGGATTATTAAATCTGAAAGAAATAAGCTGGGTAATAAGTGAGGTTAAACGGTTTAAGGGACATGAATTGGTTAAAAATGTCGAGCATTTTGTGTTTAGGGTTTCAGAATAGCCCCAAACTGCTGGTTTTACAAACTCGACTGACTGATCGAACTATATTTTCCTAAGTTTTCTTCATTAAAAACTAGTAGAATTGGTTAAAATAAAGAGATGTACATGAAATGCTTTTTGCAGCTGGTAATAATGCAAAAAAAACGGCGGCATCAGACAATATTTTACATAATTGTTTTTGTTCTCTTTTCGAGGCTAGTTTATCTAAATAATCAATCAGTTTTTCTGAATTATTTTTTTCGTTCATAAGTAACACGGATGCTTGCAAAGCAAAAAATATATTGGACATTCAACAATAAATTTGTAGATCGTATCAAAAGCTTTAGAAAACAAACTATCTGAAAACTGCCAGGAAAATTGTGATGACGTTGTTTGTTTTAGATTAACCAGGTGCTTAGATTGACGTATTTTGTGAAAAAGCAACGCGCAATTTCAAATTAGCATTATCATTTATCCATGAAGTAACTATCAGTTTCTTTGCTTACGAAACGAACATATGTTTTTACTTTAGAAATATCTCTTAAAGTTCCGTTATACGTGCAACTTTACATCCTCGATACCAAGTTACTATTTTAGAAAAGCGACGCCAAAAGTGGAGCCATAAAAATTTTGTCGGTGTGGGAATTTTGCTCATTATATGATGCCTTCCAATAATGCTCTGTTAGTAAAATAGCTGGTTCAAAGCCGAAGTCATTTGACCGTGCAAAGCAATCTGTCGTGTTGTTATAGTAGCAAATTAACTTCTACTTTTGGTATAAATTGTAATATTTGAAAGAGGACACATTCATCTCAACTGACCTTAACCTTCACTCTTGCATAGCGTTGTGTATTGTTGTTATATTCCTCCTGGACGTAATTAGCGTTTTACCTGCTATTTGGGCTGATTTCCAATTTATTCTTCGCTCATTGCTGGCTGGTTTAGAAAAGCACAAATAACGTATTACTTGTTATTTTCGATACAATTCATCAGTAGCTCTACTAACCATGTCGCCCAACATCAGCACTAAGTTCACGGACCAGTACGACCTGAAGGAAGAACTGGGCAAGGGTGCATTTAGCATTGTGAGAAAGTGTGTGCACAAGAGCACCCAGCAGGAGTATGCGGCTAAGATCATCAACACGAGGAAGCTGACCTCGAGAGATATTCAGAAGTTGGAGCGGGAGGCTAGGGTCTGCAGACTCCTCAACCACGCCAACATAGTCAGACTGCACGACAACATTGCAGAAGAGAATTTCCATTACTTAGTTTTCGATCTAGGTCAGTTCATTCATTTTTTTAAATAAGAAAATGCGTTTTTATAACTGCTATCTTAATTTTTAAGCATTCAATAATTAATCACTCGGATGCAGATAAGTTAGTTAAATGGTGTCCAAATCAAAACTGCTAAAAAATGGTGTTAACAAAAATAAAGTTTACTAAAAATAAAGTATCTTGATGCTCGGTATGAACATAGACTGCTCATGTCTAAGAAGTTTTGACTGTTTTTTATTTTAGTAACGGGCGGTGAGCTATTCGAAGACATAGTAGCACGTGAGTACTACAGCGAAGCAGATGCGAGCAACTGCATCCAACAGATTCTGGAAGCCGTCTCACACTGCCACACCAACCAGATAGTTCACAGAGACCTGAAGCCAGAGAATTTGCTGCTGGCCAGCAAGCACAGGGGAGCGGCTGTTAAACTGGCAGATTTTGGACTAGCAATTCAAGTTTGTCCATTTTCTTCTCCAAATATATACGCCTCAATTAATTGTTTGTTCGTTCTGTTATGATCTGTATATATAACATCTTCGACTGAAATTACGGATGTCTTGAAATCCTGAAGTAAAATTTAGGTGACTGATTGCCGCGCACGCATTGCGTGTAATCTAATTTGTTGAAACTTGCGACGACATGTTTTTTAAAGAGATCTCTGAAAGGTTTAGATGCTAAAAATTATTGTCGCGAGAGCAGTAATATGGCAATTAATAATTGTGGCCTATGTTTAAACTTCACAGGTGAGTGGAGAGGAGTATGCATGGCATGGATTTGCCGGGACACCGGGCTATCTGAGTCCGGAGGTGTTGCGAAAGGAGCCATATACGAAACCAGTGGACATCTGGGCGTGTGGGGTCATCCTGTACATTCTGCTGGTGGGATACCCGCCCTTCTGGGACGAAGACCAGCACAAACTCTACTCTCAAATCAAAGCCGGTGCTTACGACTATCCCTCGCCCGAGTGGGACACGGTCACGGATGAGGCCAAGAACCTGATCAACCTCATGCTCACAGTCAACCCCCGCAAGAGGATAAAGGGTGAGTTCAGTCTGCACTATCCACACGAAACCAAATTTTGATGATTTTTTTATACAAAATTGAAAAAAGTTAATGTAACAGACCTATCAGGCTTGAAAATGTAATCTGGGTCAGTTTTAAATATGTAATAGAATATTTCACAAATTGATTCAAGCAATATTAGACATTTACTCGTGTAGAGAAGGAATTTTTATTTTGGACTATAACGTGCATCAGCTTAATTGAGATTCGCGCTGATGCCATTGCTCTGCGATGGATGGTTGTATATAGTTTCAGTAGACGTGCAAGGAAATCTTTTAATAAAGTTTGGTAAACTTCGGATTCCCTAGGTTAGTTTACTGTAAATAAAAGTTATTACGATTGAATCAAGTCTAAAACATGGAAAATTAAGGTCTTCATCTTGAACATATATGATGTTAGTTTGTAAATAGCTGTGTACCAGGACTTGTTCCTTGTGGATGAAAGATCTGATCTGATTTTCAGCACTAGACGCTCTGAAGCACCCCTGGATTTGCAATAGAGAGCGGGTGGCTTCAGCCGTGCACAGACAGGAGACAGTCGAGTGCCTGAAGAAATTCAACGCAAGGCGGAAGCTGAAGGGCGCCATTCTCACTACAATGATAGCAACACGCAATTTCTCCACACGTAGCAGTACTGCCAAGAAAGAAGCAGCGGCCGCCGCAGCTGCAGCTCAACAGGCAGCGTCTCAGGGTGGCATTCCCCCGCAACAGAACCCACAGACTCTGCTGACGCCGAATAATAACCAAGAGTCGACAGAGTCGCAGCAGAGTGCGGTCACAATGCTGGAGGACGTAGATGATTCGCACGGGGCTAACCTTCATAACAAGTCAGTATCATTAGTTTCTATGAATTATGAGTGACGATGAACGAAGTGAAGACATTTATTCGACTCAGTTCGTGTCGTTTTTTTGGTAAAGAGTAACAAGAAAAGTTTTTCACGCTCAGTTTTTTTCGCGGTTTGACTTTTATTTTTTAAATCACTCATATTCTTTGGCCAAATGGAAGGCCTATCGCATCACGCTCTCCGATAAGAATAAGTTTAAATGGCGTGTAAACGTTATTGAATTGTAGTTTCAAAAGTAGACTTCTGGTTTTAGATTTTGCAGCGGAGTGCAAACAGTTAACTATTGATCCAGTTTTTTTTTTTCAATTTAAGTTAGTCAAACTGTTTTGTTTTGCTCCTTACAAGTTTACCCTTAAGCGAGTTCATTACACTTGCGAAAGCAGGCGCCTTGTAATCGGTTCGAGTTTCACCCGCACTTGTTTTTTTTTCAGTATGTATGCAATTGAAAAAAATTTTTCGGTAAAATTGATTTGTTGGATTTCCCTTTATCTGCTCAAATTTTTTTCGTCTAGGGAGCCACATCAGGGGTTTTCTTGTGGTGTAAGTAGGCGCGGATCTATAAATTTCTCTCGGGAAGAGGCGAATTTTCAAAAAAAAAATTGAAAATTTTGTCGACCCTTTTTTTAGGTTGATCAAATTGATTTTCTGAGCTCTCTCAAATCACTATAAAGACTCTAATTTGACGAAACTTTCTGCGCCGTAGGCAAATTTTTGAAAAAGGCCAAAAAATGTATTTTTAGGCACTTTTTGAAAAATTTCGACCAAAAAATCGCGTTTTTTCGGCGCGCGCTCCGCCCTCAAAATTAGTATAGATTGGCGCCAAAGGCGCCTTCAGTAAATTTTCAAGGTGTGTCAGCCAAAAATGGATATCTCAAAATAATTCAAAGGGGGACACTTGGGGTCGGCGGGGGTCGAATTCCTAGGGAGAGGCGTGCCCTCCCGTCCCGCCCCCCCCTAAATCCGCTACTAGCTGTAAGCAAGTATTATGTTAGTTGGAAGTGTTGTTCATCGTGATCCTATTCGAAACCACTGATAAAATAAGTGGTACCGCTGAAAATCGCAGGTGTTTATCTTTTTTAGCTTAGGAGATGATATTCATGTTTGAATTCTGATCAAACTTATTTTAAAAAGTTTTTATAAAATTTCTTTTGGCTCAACTGGGTTCTTTTTAGAGATTGTCAGCTTTGTTTACGCATCGGAAGTTTTGTTCCAATGCTAATTTAAAAATCAAATGTCTTGCTCGGGATGGTTTTCAAATGCAAATGGATGGGATTGGTTTTTTTTAGATGCTTTGAAAAATTGTTTTTTTCGCAAAGTTTTTGTTTTTCTTAAACTATTCTAATGATCTTCAAAAAAAGTGACATCAATGGAAAGACCGTCTACTCTCCGCTGTGCTCGCATACTCCCCTAATCTCTTTTTTACTCTACCGCTCTCTCTACAGCCTTTGAAAATGTCTATGGGGAGAATTTTTGACCCATTTTTTTCGATTCTTGTTTTATGAAAATGTATCCTCTCAAATCTGAGATTTAGGTTCAATGAATAGAACAAACTATGTGAAGCTCCCCTGTATCAGTGGCTACATCCATTTTTTGTAACTGTAGTCAAATGTTTGTTTTTTTCACCGTTTTTTTCTTTTTGATTTTTCTCGAAATCGACTCGCCCAATTTTGAGATTTGGTTTCAATCCGAAGAACTGTTTATAACTGCTCTTCTGAATATGCGGCAATGCAAAATTTGGTATACATAAATTTATGCCCCTCGTAAATGTCTAATTTTCGCTTTTTGACTGTTTTTTGGTTTTTTATACTTTTCACGGAAACTACTCTTACAGTTCCGAGGTTTTGTGTAAGTTCGATCCAAAGTATGATAGGAAGCTCCCCTGTATAATCGACCACGCCCATTTTAGTGTTAAATGATAGTTATGGCCCTTGGAAAAGACAATAATTAGTTATAGAAATAGTTTAGTTTTTTGAAACTGTTTGAATTTTCTCAAAAACTACCCTCAGAAAATTTTTGCGTTCAATCGAAACAAATTGTGTAAATCTCCTCTGCATAAGCAGCAGTGCAAAATAATTCTACAAAAATTTTACACAAAAGGTATGATTCGCGAAAAGTCAAATTTTTGATTTATTGAGTTTCTTGGAAACTTTTTGACTTTTCTCTAAAACTACCCTGCCACTAATTAGAAATGTTCGGCTTTATTTGAGGTATCCAGTTTTGGGAATCTTCTCTGCTTAAGTGGTCACATTTTTCTTGTTGTAGGAAATATTATGGTTTTTTTTGTGGCCGTTTTTGTAGAAATTTTTTGATTTTCTGAGAGACAAGGCTCAGATGAAATCTTCAACTAAAGAATCGGTTGCTAAAATTTTTCCTTTAGAAGCACCGACTTCTATTTTTTGTAAATTTTGTAAGAAACATTTTACGTATTTGGGAAGGTTGCATTATCTCGAAAATTTTCACGATTCTCACTTATTGTAGTATAGTAATAACCATGGTTTTGGGCAAAGTCCAATTTTTGAAGTTTACCATTTCATCCAGCATCAGTATAACAAATTCAAAAAAAAACAAACAGCTACCTGCTGCTTTAGCCCCTATTTATATTTTATCAAGACGTTCGACCATTTTGGTCCACCTAGGTTTTTTTAAACATTTTTCATTTATTTTTTTTTCGAATTATATTTTGTATGTTTGTGGTATACCGCGAGTGGTGCAAAGCTCCGCTTCACCTCTGTGTAGATTTTTAAGTCAATGCAAAGCATGGGTTGTGGTAAGTTCTTTTGCATACTCGACTACGCCTAATTTTTTTTGAAACAAACAGTTATTGACTTCGGAAAGTTTTAGACCGTTTTTGAAAACGTTTTGACTTTTCTCAAAAATTATGCTCATAGCGTGAATTTTTTCTGCATCAGCAGCTACGCCCACATTTTTTCATATGAAGAGCTAGGGTTCTCTGAAAAGTCAAATTTCTGATATTTTGAACGTTTTTTTTTTGGAAACTTTCTGGTATGTCTCAACTATATTGGCAAATATGGTATCAATGGTGAAATTGAAACAACAGGTTGTAGAAAGCCTAACTTTTTAAATGGATGAACTCATTTTTTCTGCGAAAAAATTAATTGGCTCCAAAAAAGTCATAGTTTTGTTCTCGAAAACTACCATTTCTGAGGTTAAGTGGTCAATCGGAAAGCCCAATTTTGCTAATCCTCTGCTGAATCGGCCTCGGCATACTTTAACTGAAAAAAAAATTATTTGTTTCGGAAAGCTACTCAACCAAATCTGAGATGGAGGGTTCAATCGAAAAAACCGATTGCGAGCATTTTTTCTACAGAAGGGGCGACTCCTTAAATTTTTGTCAGAAAAATTTTTAGTCTTCGGGAAATTCCAATATTTCATAGTGTTTTAAATCTTGTCTTTTAGTTAGTAGATACAATCAAGGTTTTTGTGCAAAATGCTGTTTTCGAAGTCACCAATTTCATACCGCAAATTTTCAAAAAGTATCAAGCAGGTGCCTCCAGATTTATCTGGACCCCTAGTTATATTTTATCGAGGCATACGAAAGTTTTGGTTTACTAGTTTTTTTTTCAACATTTTTTAACTATGTTTGTTTTATTGTGCTGTATCGCAAGTGGTACTAAGCTGCGCTTGGCCTCTGTGTAGTTTTATGGCTGAATGCGTGATAATATTTTTGAGGCACGAACAGCAAATGGGTCTATGGGCTCTTTATTGATCGTGCTGAATTTAATTATATCAAGATAACGGCAGGGCTTGGATAATCAAATGTTGCAGGAGTGGGAATCAGGAAGAAGCCTTGCGTTTTAATTAAATGTAATTTACAGGGACCAGTTTTGAAGTGTATGTGACACTGAGGTATAAAAAAGTTATGGTGAAAAATGAAAGAAACTCGTAAAATGTGTATTGTTCACCTAAAATGTGTATTTTTTGACAGTGTGGCTGCAATGAGTATAAGCAATGTGTTTGGGGCGGTGCAAGGGGCTGTTACGAACAGAGATCAGCACCCCAAGTCTCAGGGCACCCTGGTGTCCCCTCTGGCCATGGGTGACTTGTCCTCCTCGGCAGCACTGAGCGGCAGGAAACTAGAGATACTGAAGCTAACTGAGGGACTGCTGGAAGCATTTGACACTAACAGATTCGACCTCTACAGCAGATTCTGTGACCCAGGTGTCACTACTTTTGAGCCCGAGACATTAGGTATGTTGAAAGGACGAATTTAGAACTCAAAAAATATATGCTAAAAAACTTCACTTGCGAGTCGTTGTTATAGTAGGCCGCAAATATTGAAGTTTTCCATCTGAAGTTGCACGCTTTTCGATAGCACGTGCTTTGAAGTTCGATTACTAATAAGTTAACACAGTTAATATATTTTTAATTCATCAAATGAACCGAAATTTTTTTTTTAAAAGTACAATAATAACTCGATTTCAGAAATTTTCCAGCTCAAAATAGCTCAAATTTTTTTAGATGCATAATTTATACATAATTTGACTTTATGCTTTCCAGTTTTTGACATGCAAAGCTAGTGTGGATGCCTTCAGCTCGTTTTATTCGAAAGTATTACTTGCAAAATTGTGTCTATTTGTATTTGGTTCCTTTTTTTGCCGCATCGCATTGGCAATTGATTAGTATATCTATCTGCTTTATCTGTGGCTAGCTTTATTAAATTTTTAAGGGACCGTGGCGCTGATTCGAGGACACGAGACTCTAAATCTCCTGGTGGTCGGATCGAATCCGCCACAGAAAAAATAAGCCTCGAAAATTAAAACTTTTGCTGTGGCGGATTCGATCCGAACACAAGGAGATTTAGAGTCTCATGTCCTCGAATCAGCGCAAAACAAAACAGAAAAAATAAGCCTCGAAAATAAAAACTTTTGCTGTTTTGTTTTCCACTGTATTGAGCTGCTTCTTTGTTGTTTTCTCGCTAGTTTTTGAGAATCGCAGCTTCGCCTCTCTGTCTGATCATGTTGATGGTTACTGTTAAAACTGGGGAAGTCAATTTTGTTCTTTAAAACTTTTTTGAAACTAAAATGATCAATTGATTACAGTTTAATGCAAAGATGCTGCTTAAAAGAACTCACAATATGTTTTTTATTAAGATCAAGGTTTCATCGTGAGTACCGTTTCTGGATTTTAGACGCATTCTGTTTCAGGTCATTTAGTAGAAGGATTAGACTTCCACAGATTTTATTTTGACAATGGGCCTGGAATGGGTTATGGAAACTACAGCAAGTGCACTAGTTATGTAATGAAGCCACATGTACATGTAATGGGCGAAGATGGCGCAGTGATAGCCTACACCAGATTAACACAGACACTCACATCAGAAGGACAAGTGAGTAGATACTAGGAAAAGCAGTCTGATGTTTCTTTTTTCCAACAGGCTTGGCTCAAATGCTTTATTTCTTAAATACACTGCACAACCTACTTAAACTCAACAAAACAACAACGTTGATGAAGAAAAGAGACAATTTAATAGAGCTACCTGCGCTTTTACAAGGTTGTCTGATATTCATACGAATGCATACGTTTTGGGGAGGGTTGTTTGACTTATCAGATTTTGAATAGTTTGACCAGTTGCCCTCTTTGAGACTCGAGAGCAGAAAAGTGCCTCGCTAACAATGCCGACCGATTTCTGTGCCATTGGTTCTTTTCTCGTGTCACTTTTATGCGCTATTTTTAAATTAAGGATATTCAAGAAATATTTATTCCGCTTTTCAGTGTTTCCGCAGTGCCGTTTTTCAGTCTCAATTAAAATAAGCTCGAAAAACTACAGCACTTGAAAGTTTTAGTAGCAGCACTTGTCTTATCTTAATTATTGTGGAGTAATTGTAATTATTTATACTAACGAATGCATGTGTTACAGGAGCAGTTGATTTTTTCTCAAACCACTAAAGCAAATATATCGTTTTCTTTTGCATTTAGTTTTCTTTTGCATTCAGATTTATTAGTTTTTGTGACGCTTTTTTGGACCAATTTTTGAATGAAAGCCAATGAACGTAGAAGGCTACTTTTTTCACACCGAAGTCGCAAATAATACTGCTGAAACTGTACCATTACCGTAGGAGGCTGAATTGACTATTTGATAGCATGTGCGTTGACAGTTGATTTACAATAAGTGAACACAGTTGATGCATTTTTACATGTGTGTGTGTGTGTGATCGGAGGGGAAGGAAGATTTTTTGAAAAAATTATCAGCTTTGTTACCGCTCATTTAGTTTTTTTCCGACGAGCTGATTTTGCATTCAATGTTTGGGCATGTTTTTTTTTCACAGCCATCTTTATTCATTTTGATAGATCTACTTGAATGAGAAATTGTGAGGCACTCAGCTTCGCCTCTGTGTTTGATTAAATTTGTTCGGGATTTCTGATATTTCAAATGCACCCAGCTTGATCAGTGATACAAAAACCTCATCTCATTGGATGATTCGGCAGATCGAAGTTTCATTCGCATTGCGGATTTTTTTGATGAAGCGATGCTCAACGATGACCTTGATGATAATGAGTTTTGAAGTGGAGTGTCTTTCACTCAGGATGAGTTGATTTTGCTGAGTTTCTGTGATGTTCAGTTTTTGTGATCTTTGAACAGCACCATCGTTAGAATAGTAATAATAACAACCTTCTCTGATTGATTAATTGGGCAGCTCAAAACCGCATTTGCATCGCAGTAATCACGCTGATGAAGTCATGCATCACCTTGATTTTAATTATATTTACCTTAGCGATAAGCAAGGGTAATGCAATCAGGACTTTTTCCTGTAACTGACTTTGTTCGCAGATTGGTCAAAAATTAGATCTGATAAATATAGGTTCAGCTCATAATAAATTCAATTTTTTTTTGCGCCTCCTGCACACTTGGTCTTGAGGTAACGAAAACGCCTGGGACGGCAAAGCTCCTGGGTTCGAATCTGACAAAACTGTTTTTTTCTTCAAACGAGAAATATTCTTTTGAAAAATATGTCTGCTTGAATTGCCGGATTTTGAATAAAAATAAATTTACACAGTTGGTGCTTTCTTATACATGCGTGTGTGTGTGCGTGTGTGTGTGTGTGTGTGTGTTCGGAGGGAAGGAAGATTTATTTTTTCAAGTTTTAGCTTTGCTACCGCTCATTTAGTTTTTTCCGATGCTGATTTTGCATTCTTTGTTTGGGCATGTTTTTGTAAAACCATCTTTATTCATTTTGATAGATTTAGTTGTATGGGAAATGGTGCGGAGCTCAGCTTCACCTCTGTGTTCAATTAGATTTGTTCGGGATTTCTGCCGTTTTAATTTCACCGCCGTTTTTTAGTGATACAATTAACCTCAACTGATTGATTGCTTTTTAGGTGATTTTTTTATTTTGAAATGCAGTCTAGTTCGACAAAGTGACCGCTACGTTGCTCATTATAATGAGTACTGAAGTAGGTTGGTTTTTACTCGTGATGATTTGGCTTGATTTGTTCATTTTTGTGATGTTTTAATTGCACCACCCTTTGATAAATTATTTAAAAAACCTCATCTCATTGGATGATTCGGCAGATCGAAGTTTTTTTTGCATTGCGGTCTTTTTTGATGGGGCGATGTTGAACATGGATCTTGATGATAATAAGATTTGAATTGGGGTGTGAATCATTGGGTCGGTTTGTTTTAATTGCATCACCGTTGGATTAGTGATACAAAAAACCTCAACTGGTTGGTAATTCTCGGGTGATTTTTGATTCGCATCGCCGTCTAGGTCGAAGAAGTGATGCTCCAAGTTGCTCATAATTATAACTCCTGATCAATTGTCTTGATTTGTTCAATTTTGTGATGTTTGAAATGCACCACCGTTTGATAAGTAATACAAACAACTTCATCGGATGAGTATAATGAGTTTTGTGGTAGGCTGTCCTTTACTCCGAATGAATTTGCTGGAGTTTGTTCAGCTTTGTGATGTTTAAAATGCACCACCGTTTGATTAGTGATACAAACTACCTCAACTGATTGATTGCTTTTTAGGTGTTTATTAGATTGTTTTGCATTCTAGTTCGACGAAGTGGTCCTCCACGTTGCTCATTATTCTAATGAGTAATGAAGTGGGTTAGTTTTTACTCCTGATCAATTGTCTTGATTTAATTAGTTTTGTGATGTTTAAAGTGCACCACCGTTTGATAATTGATACAAACAACTTCATCTCATTGATTACTTTCTGGTTGTTATTTTGTTCGCCCTGCTGTCTAATTCGGAGATGTGATTCTCCACGTTGCTAATAATTATAATGAGTTTTGTAGTAGGCTGGTATTTACTCCGGTTGAATGCGCTGGATTTTGTTCACCTTTGCGATGTTTAAAATGCACCACCGTTTGATTAGTGAAACAAACAACCTCTACTGATTGATTGCTTGATTTTTTGATTTGCATTGCAGTCTAGTTCGACGAAGTGATGCTCCACGTTGCTCATAATTATAATGAATATTAAAGAGGGCTGGAATTTACACAGGATGGAATGGCTTGATTTGTTCAGGTCTGTGAGGCTCAAATTCACCACCGTTTGATTAGTGATACAATTAACCTCAACTGATTGATTGCTTTTTAGGTGATTTTTTTATTTTGAAATGCAGTCTAGTTCGACAAAGTGACCGCTACGTTGCTCATTATAATGAGTACTGAAGTGGGTTGGTTTTTACTCGTGATGATTTGGCTTGATTTGTTCATTTTTGTGATGTTTTAATTGCACCACCCTTTGATTAATTATTTAAAAAACCTCATCTCATTGGATGATTTGGCAGATCGAAGTTTTTTTTGCATTGCGGTCTTTTTTGATGGGCGATGTTGAACATGGATCTTGATGATAATAAGATTTGAATTGGGGTGTGAATCATTGGGTCGGTTTGTTTTAATTGCATCACCGTTGGATTAGTGATACAAAAAACCTCAACTGGTTGGTTATTCTCGGGTGATTTTTGATTCGCATCGCCGTCTAGGTCGAAGAAGTGATGCTCCAAATTGCTCATAATTATAACTCCTGATCAATTGTCTTGATTTGTTCAATTTTGTGATGTTTGAAATGCACCACCGTTTGATAAGTAATACAAACAACTTCATCGGATTGATTACTTTCTGGTTGTTATTTTATTCCCCTTTCTGTCTCATTCGGAGATGTGATCCTCCACGCTGCTCATAATTATGATGAGTTTTGTAGAAGGCTGTCATTTACTCCGAATGAATTTGCTGGAGTTTGTTCAGCTTTGTGATGTTTAAAATGCACCACCGTTTGATAAGTGATACAAACTACGTCAGTTGATTGACTGCTTTTTGGGTTTTCTTTTATTGGCATTGCAGTCTAGCTCGAAGAAGCAATGCTGCACGTTGCTCATAATTAAAATGAATAATGAAGTGGGTTGTTTTTTTTCTACTCCTGATCAATTGTCTTGTTTTGTTCAGTTTTGTGATGTTTAAAATGCACCACCGTTTGAAAAGTGACAACTTAATCCAATTGATTGCATTCTGGTGTAGATTTTGTTCGCATTGCAGTCTAGTTCGAAGAAGTGATCCTCCATGTCGCTCATTATCATAATGAGTAATGAAGTGGGTTTGCTGTTACTCCTTTTGAATGTGCTTGATTTGTTCAGCTTGATGTTTAAAATGCACCGTCGTTTGATGAGTGATACAAACTACCTCAACTGATTGATTGCTTTTTAGGTGATTTTTTTTTGCATTGCGGTCTAATTCGACGAAGTGATCCTCCACGTTGCTCATTTTTATATTTAGTAAGGAAATGGGTTGGCTGTTACTCCTTTTGAATGGGCTTGATTTGTTCAGCTTTGTGATGCTAAATATGCACCACCGTTTGATTAGTGATATAAACTACCTCAACTGATTGATTGCTTTTTAGGTGTTTATTAGATTGTTTTGCATTCTAGTTCGACGAAGTGGTCCTCCACGTTGCTCATTATTCTAATGAGTAATGAAGTGGGTTAGTTTTTACTCCTGATCAATTGTCTTGATTTAATTAGTTTTGTGATGTTTAAAGTGCACCACCGTTTGATAATTGATACAAACAACTTCATCTGATTGATTACTTTCTGGTTGTTATTTTGTTCGCCCTGCTGTCTTATTCGGAGATGTGATCCTCCACGTTGCTAATAATTATAATGAGTTTTGTAGTAGGCTGGTATTTACTCCGGATGAATGCGCTGGATTTTGTTCACCTTTGTGATGTTTAAAATGCACCACCGTTTGATTAGTGATACAAACTACCTCCACTGATTGATGGCTTGATTTTTTGATTTGCATTGCAGTCTATTTCGACGAAGTGATGCTCCACGTTGCTCATAATTATAATGAATATTAAAGAGGGCTGGAATTTACACAGGA